CGACAACGAGCGTACGGCGGCGGCGACGACACGACGGCGATACGGCGACAACGAACGGATGCGGCTTCGGCCCCGCAGGCGGATTCGGTCAGCGACGGCGGCGAGAACACGGCGGCGGCATGGCGTAGGGTAGCATACGGTAGTTGATCCTAGCCAGCGTAGTCGAGACGACGAATAGATTTGCATACGACGCGAGACCAGCGAGCGCAGCGAGCGGCGGGCTTACGGCTGCCCCCAGAGCCTTGCTTGGTATTTAGACCCCCCAAGCGGGTTGACGCGATTGTGTTAAAATATTCCAAGCAAACGGAAGACGAGCGCGTTTGCCCCAGGCGGTCGGTTGCCCGAAGGGCAATCGCGTACAGTACATCGAGTAGATACAACGAATATATATGAATTTCTTATCACCTTATCAGTTGGGCCCGCCTGCGGCGGTCCCCCCCTGACCACGCGCACACGGCGCGAGCTCGCAAGCTCGATCCCGACTCCCGAAATCCAACACTGTGATGCAGTTCGATGGGGGCAACCCCCATGGGGAGAAAACGTGATCGTCGTCGCTGCGGCACGTACATGACGCTCGTTATGCCAGTCGTATAACCAAAGAGGTACCACTCTGCACATTAGCATCAGCATTACCCAAGACGTAAGCTCAGAGCACTCTGTAGTGCCACGCTGCAGTCAATTCGCGAATAGTAACTCAAGACCCGTCTGAGCAGACATCCTACGAGTGCCGTTCGCTTACTATATCTAACCTTACCGCGCTACAGGGGCATGAGGACCCCGCGACGCCCACTTCGTGAGTTTCAGCATAGCAGCAAATGCAGTTCATGAAGTCTCCATGGTCTTGGCAGGCTCCCCCTATGGCTCCAGGATAGTCTATCTACGGCGAAGCTACCACACCCCATAACGGAGTACGGTCTCGGAAGCTCTGGGGAGGGGAAGGATGCTTCGCTGTGACCTCGCGTACGACACCTGGACATGCAGACATCATTATCTCCTGCCAGCTGAGCTGCCCAAGAGTTGCCATCGACGGTGACCTGGTAAGGTCTGCTGTACGTATGCTGCGCTTCGATCACCCTGTTATAGCGTGCAAACTGGCATGGCCGGAGCTCAAAGACAGTATCGCTGCTTCGTTCGTTGGTGCAAGATTTGCCTACCAGGTCTTTGGCTGCAAGGATGACGAAGACGAATGGATTTCCCAGACTGTCACGGTGCATGGTGAGGCGGTGAGAGCAGCCGGAGGAGATATAGAGACGGCCATTTCTCTAGTCACGCAGGAGTTAGGGAGACCTGCAGATAAGCCGCCCACAGTCTTTTTTGAAGTCCACGTCATCCCTGCCACCTTGCACAGCTCTTCGTGCGGCATAGTGCTCCGCCTTGGGCATTCCATTTTTGACGCCATTGGCGCGTTCCAGACCCTGGATCTTCTGAACGAGCGAATAGCTCGAGCGCTAGGCTCTCGCGACGAGGTGGTATTCGACTGGGGTGCGGAGGTGACGCTGCTGGCAGAACCCCCGCCGGAACGCGCGAAGGTTCCGTGGTCCTCTGATCGGTCGAACCATGAATCCTTCGTTCCAGAGGGCCATATAGAAGCCTTACGTCTGAACAAGGTTATGCCGTTCCAGCCCTCCTGGTGCATCCCCGTTGATCTCACTCACTGACAGACGCTTCCTGGGGTACCCTACTCCCATCGATCGGAACCACGCATAGGGACTGGAGTCATGAAGACGGTGCCTGAAGAGTCGCTAGAACGACTGCTTCAAGCCGCCCGGAAGCGTGGTTGCACGCTGTTCAGTATACTGCTGGCGGTTATGCTGCTGACCCTCCTTCGAACCAACTCTCTCGAGGATATCCCGGAAATTAACACCGCATTTTACCCTGCACCCGTCAACCTCCGTGCCAAGCACCTGAAACCCAACCTCAATCCCCGAGACAGGACTCAATGGCGCATCGCGAATGTCCTTGGGTTCGAAACGTATATACTTAGGAATCTGGAGCGATTCGTGCGTCCCGATATGTCCACCAAGAATCCACAAATTGTGGACGACGTGGGGACTCTAGCGCAAATGATCCGAGACCAAGGCGACCGACAGCGGTTTTGCAACGACAGCATAATATACTGGGCAGACCAGTTCTTGCAAATGCAAATGTGGAGTGTTGTTATTCCAAGGTAACTTCGTCATCCTTAGATGGATAGAAGGGGTGCTCATAACCGGTCACATGCAAGTATAACGAATCTTCCCCTTTGTCGATCCTCATCTCTCCGCCAGCTTCCCCATTCGGGACAGACTTGTCTTGACCATCTCCAAGCCCAGGATTAGCATCCGTACCCCTCCCCTTGCCTTTCATCCATATACGTGGAACGGCACGCTTTACAATTCTTTTAGCTTCACAGAAGGGCTCTATGGGAGTACGGATGCCGGGACGCGAGCGGTCTACAAAGATTTGGCAGAGCCCGCACCCGTCTTGACTTTCATTAATGGATTGATGGACATTCTGATGAGTGTAGCCACGATAGGTTAGTGAGGGAGAGCGGGTTGGGATTATTGCAGCTTAAAGCGTGCCTCCATTGATAGACACCAGTGCAGAATGTAATATTGGATGGACGCAGTCGTTCGGCGAGCGTTGCAGTTGGTAGTTTCGGCCACTGCAGTCGCTTCGGCACTGGCAAGGTCGAGCCCTCCGACTATCCCGGACTGATCGAGGACGAAAGCGGGAGCGAAAATCATGCGCTCAGAGGCTGTGTGTCGGTTATCAGATAATTCAATGTCAAATCACGGACGATCCACTAGGCCTTGTTCGAGTCTCCAAGTCCGCCCGTCCAAGACTCGGAATAGACCTGGAAGCGACGTTCGCGGCCCTCGCGAGCGTCGGCGTGCGCATGCTCGGCTGCGGCTGCGGCTGCGGCTGCGGCTCCGTGATGGTGAGGTACTCACCTTGGCGCGCGGATAGGCGCTGGTCGACGACGCCCATGGAGGATGGTACCGGGAGCGGGGGCGTGTTCCCCGACGGCGCGCTGCGGCAGGTCAGAAACTCCGTACTGAATATGTTACGCCGGGCATACGCACCCCTGCGCCGCGCCCCACACGCGCGTGAACTCGTCCACCCCGTTCCAGCGCAAAGCGCTGGCGCTCCACCTGCGCCTGCAGGTCCCGCGCGAAGTAGACGTGGCACGCGGTGCTGTTCGCGACGCGCCGGGTCTGGCCTGCGCGGAGGTCCGCGAGGCTCGGGTAGATGGCCGTGTCGACGCTTGTCGTGGGGGAGCGGGAGCGGGAGTTCGTGCGTAGGAGGGCGAGGAGCATCGCGGCGAGGAAGACGCTGAAGAGCGTGCGCGCGCGGCGCTCCGGAGCGCTTGCACCGACTCGGCGGGCATGGTGCGCATGATCACGCCTGTGCCGACATGCGTGGATCCTGGGGGGGGGGGGAGAACGGCACGCCTGGGAGGGTCTGGTAAGGGCGGATACTGAGTCAGGCGTTGTATGCGGTGAGAAGGAAGTTTGCTCACCTTTTCCATGTTTATAGCTTCGACCAGCCTGTCGAGCATGACCTGGTCATCCTCTGACATCTCCGCGGCTAACGACCACGGGATCTTTGTGCACTCCGGCGTGGGCAGCGCCAATCTTGCCGTCTCTTCTCCCCAATTCAGCGGCTCCGAGACGTGCACGGGAGAGCGCAGGACGCGCGCGATCCGCTCGTTCAGGAGGTCCAGCGCCTGGAACACGCCGATGCCGTCGAACACGGCGTGGCCCAGGCGGAGGACGAGCGCGCTCCGCGATGTGGAGCCGGGGATGAAGTGCGCTTCGAAGAGCGTCGTGGGCGGGCCTGCGGCGGCCTTGCCGAGGTCGTGGGCGACCAGCGCGACAGCGGCGTCGACGTCCCCGCCGGTGTCTGTGCGGACTGTCACGACCTCGTTAAGCCACAGGTCGACTTCGCGCTCGGAAGCGGGGACTTCGTAGGCTAGCTTAACGTCTGCTGCGGATGGCGGGCTGCCGTCCTCGGACGCTGGGCAGGCGAAGCGAGCTGCGATTGTCGGGTGATCGGACCGCAGGAGACGCACGGCTGACTTTATGGGGCTCTCGGTGAGAGGCTGGTTAGGGCTGATCAGCTGGCAGGATATGATGATGTCGGCGTAGCCGGGCGATACGAGGGAGGAAGCGGCAAACGTAGCTTCGGGGCCCCAGGGCTGTCGACCGAAGATGGGGTAAGAAGGGAGTAGAGGCGGGTTGTTGCCACGACCATGGGGAGTTCATCCCCGCTTTCATGTTTCCAGGAAGATGTCACGACTCGGTATCCAGCAAGTAGCCTTTTATATGAGTCGGTATGTCTTGGATCTTGGACCACGGCGAATTCGACTGATGCCTACCGCGTTTGTGCTATTTTAGGATAGTAGTAATGCGTCTCTGAGGGGTTGCCTTTATATTCGGCTGAGCGTATGATGAGCAATGCCTCGAGCCTCAAAGTTTGCGCTAAAGTCACAGTTTCGATGACCGGACGCCGTGTTTACTGGCGGCTGGGAGATCGCCCGAGGTGCCAGGGACAGCACGACCGTCGATACCGACGGGACGGGACGGGTAGGTAGTACATAGGCCAAACGCACGCGCGCGCCGGCCCGTTACTGCGCGAGCAACGAATCGGTTGGGAGGTAGTCTCGCGCCAGATACCCACGGACGCCACGCTAGGGAGGATGGCGCCCGTCTTGAAAGGATCGGAGGCTGCGGGCCAGGCAGTTCGGCAAGACCGGACAACCGGTCGGCAGGGCATCAAGTGGCAGAACGGCGAGGAGGATGATCCCTGGTTGCCAGATACCAGTCGCATGCTCCAGAGGAAAAGACGGGACTCCGGCGGGATACGATAGCAAGGCCACTCGCCTAGTGAGGTAGTGATAAAATCGCCCTGTTATTGTCCGGGCAGCTAAGCGTACCCATGTAGCATAGCAGGTCGGGAACGATCCAGTGCCCTTCGGCAGAATCGTCGACATGAACATCCATTTCGAGTGCAATCCAGCATGCACGATCATGAGCATCGCATCCCAATATATAACGCATGCGGGGCCTGAGCAGTACGCAAGATAGGAGAGATGACGGGGCTGGATACTAGGAGAGACGAGGCCCTCGATATGGTATTTCCTGCGATCACAGCTCCAGAGCTGCTAGAAAGCAGCGTTCTCCTCAAGCAACCAGAGACATGTTATGTATCAGAGAAGTTTGAAGGGCGTCGCGTCGTGGATATACCGCTCCGTCGTTGTCCAGGGGAATCTACGTGCGCAGCTGAGGGTGGCTAACCCGACCGGTAGACGAAACGCACGTTCAAGGAAAGCAGAGAGCAGATGAAGAGATCCCAAGAGCGAAATGAGCGATCCGAGTCGCCTTTGAAACCAAAGAGCCGCATCTAACGGGATTGACGCCTTGATGGATCCGCACAGCGCAGAGGCCTTCACCTAGGCTCGTGACCATCCTCTCTATCAAATTGGGGATAGGGCTACTATCACAATTCTGCCTCATTAGAGAGGGTGGTCACCAGCCTAGCCTTCACTACAAACAATAGGAAGAGGGACGATGTCGGTCCTTGGGGAGATGACGTCGTTATCGCCGCGTCGACCTCGTAAAGTCACTCTTTTCTGGTCCAAGAAGTCCAGAGCGATACGTCACAATAGTGGTTGCGAGGTATCTCTTTCAGACGGGCGTAGAACCTGAGGGAAGCAACAAGGTTGCAAGTACGGCGCGTGCGCGTCCGCAAATACGCATTGGACCCATCGCCCAGGAAAGGAACGAAGCATACAAGCCAGCGATTCTTCATACTCTCTGAGTGCCATTGTGCGATTCCACGTATACCCGAAGAACAATGCGGGTAATCAAGACAACGCAAGGGCAGACTGGGAGGTAAGCCGGAAGCAGCGATCCACGTCGATAGCCAAGGGATCAAGCAGTCCGCTTCCGAGAAGAAAAATTGATCCCAGGAGACGAAGTAGAATCAGCGATACATTCCGCATTTCGAGTACTACCGGATCCCCTTCGTTGAACGGGTAAGTATCCCCAGGGAAATCAAGACCCAGCGACGACCCAAGTAGGAAGAGGAAGAAAGTATCTCCTCCTTATAATCACATTACGGAGTAGAGTGCAGTAGATCAATCAGAAGGACGGACGGGGACCTCGTGAGGTGAAGTGGGAGACACCGTGGCAGGATGGCATCGCCCTTTTGTTGTCCAGAATCGTCGACAAGCTAGTGCCTCCTCACATTCCGTATCCCGTTTCTCAAGAGTGCCAATTAGAACAAGGCCTTAGCCCACGCATAGAATGGAGAGATCGTAACGCAAGCCGTAATCCTCGCAACAAAGCAGTGAGCAAAGGGCATGCCTTGTCCTTGTCCATCTGCGTTGTGGCTGTCCCCTTGACACCGCCACGCTCGGTGTCATTCCGCATCAGGCCCAGCCGGCGGCCCGATCCTCTCCCGTCAAGGGCCCGGCCGCGGTGGCTCCAGACCTCTTCACATCATCCAGCTGCCATTGTTCCCCCTTCGCTTGCCACACGCCCGTCCGTTTTATACCGTCGCCCGCTGTCGTCGACTTGAACTTCACCGCCAACTTGAACCTGTGAGAGCCACTGTCGACGGGAGACTCGAGACTTTGATAGGGGCATATACAGCACTCGCGCTCGTGCAATCACCATCAGCAACTAGCGACCGAGAACCAGAATGCAGAAGGCAGCAATGGCGAGCATCACCGCACCCCGGCACACCATCCACACCATCCACGGCTCCCTCGCCGGCAAGCCGCTCCTCTGGGACGCCCCCTTATCCGGCCTACCCCACCACAAGCCCAACCACCCACCGCGCTCGAGCACCAGCGCGCCCCCGCGCATATCCGTCTCCTTCCCCACATCTCCCTTCTCTCCGTCCGAGTCCGAGGCGGAAGCGCTCTCGTGGAAAGTCGTCCGCCGGCCCACGAAAGCCCGGCGCGCGCCCCCGCCCCCGCCCGCGTCGGTGAAGGCGAAGGCGGACATGGACGCGGCGCTCGACCCGTTCGCGGACGAGATGACCGAGTACGTCACGCTCGACGCGCCGATCGAGATCCACATCCACCCGGCGCCGTCCATACCCCCCGCCCCCTCCCCCTCTCCGTCTCCACCCTCGCATTCGCTTCCCTCGCCGAGCTTTAGCGCTCCCTCACCCTCGCCGCTGTACCAGCCGCCGGGCCTCGCGTGCCCCCCGCCGGACCCCGCGAAGGAGCACGCCGCGCGCCTCAAGTTCGTCGCGGGCATGCTAATGTACCGCGTGCACTGCCATGTGCGCCCGCTGAGGAGGTGGCCCGGGGAGAGGCAGCGGGGGTACGTGCGGAGCGGGCTGTCGAGGGTCGTGGCAGTTGGGGAGTGAGGGTAAGGCAGGGAGGAGAGGGGGAATTGTATGTTCTTGATTAATGAATGGGTAATGGGAGAGAGGGGTGTACTCGTATACGTATACTTATCCATCGTGTATTCTACGGCAGCAATCCATCGCGCATCACATCACATCTCCTACGCCGCATGTCGTCCGTCTCCCGGCCTGGGGTTGTACACGGTACGTTCCCCTCCCCTCCGCAGCCGCCGTTTACAGGACTCGCATATATGATACCGATCTCGTACGTCCCTTGCTCATCGGTACTCACCGGTCCTCACACATGCGACCCCACCTGCATCACCTCTCCACCACGCCGGCCCTGCCCTTCTGTTTCTGAAGGAATCACGGACGCGTGAAGCACTGAAAGCGTAATTCGAGCAGTATACATACTATGCTATGATAAGCACTATTTGGACTCCGAGTCTCGCGACGTGCGGTGGGCGCGTATGTAGGTTGTGCTCGGATATTCATCTCGTGCTCTGGATCCAATGACCACTGAATCCCGGGTGTTATAATCTCTATATTGTTTTGAATGCAAATGCCTTCATAAGGGCACTTGGTGTAGATGGTTATCACGCTCGCTTAGCATCTCGTTTGCGAGAGGGGACCGGTTCAATTCCGGTAGTGTCCATTCTGGATATAGTATCCAATTTTTCGTGTGCAGCCGCGACGATTGGAAGCGCCTAGGTGATCATGCGTGCAGCGTACATTTTCCTCGCTGCGGTCTGGTGCCGTTCCCACTGGGTACATCACCCATATTGAGCATGCAGAAAACTGTGAAATTAACGGGTCAAAGGTCAAACTTTTTTCATGATTGTCCATTGCACAATCAGTGAACCGAATTAGAATAATACTACTTTTGAGTGTGCAAAAATCTGATTGTGACACAGGATATGTTCTTTGTTCAGCACTATTCATTGAACTTTCATATGTTTTGCAAGGCAACACTATGAACAAAATTTGACCTTTGACCGGTTTCTTTCACACTTTCTCAGTGGCTCAATATGGGAATTGCACCCAGTGTCCTACTTGGGCTAGCAGACCAGGTAGGGGAAGAGAAGGGTCTTCCATGCTGTGGCGATCTGGATGCCCTCTCCGCGTCAAGTGTACTCCTGTGTTCGGAGGTGAATAGCTTATCGCATCGTTACTCGCGCTCGGTCCACATCGAAATACCACGCTCTCGGCGGTCAGCGCGGCCTCGACTGTCAACTATCAATTGATACAGCTACGGCTGTGTAGGTGGGATGGGCTTATCGGGCACGGACTGGCGCAGGTAAGAGCGGTTCGGACGGGGTACTGACGCGCGGCGGGAGGTCTCGGACTGGATCGCGGCGGCGTTGCGTCTCGGACGGGACGCGCCGCGGGAGGGTGATTTGGCTTAGGCCCGGGTGGGATGAGGTATTTGTTCCCGAGTCCATCTGGAGGGATAAGATGACATATAAGAACCTGAGAGCACCGAGAGAAGCCACAAACACTTATCCAGCTCCCCCACTCAACGTCCAGATCCCATAATTTCGATGGTCCTCGTCCACCGCTACCACGCCTCCGTCGAGCACTCCGAGCTGCTCTCCACTGCCACCGGGGCATCTGCAGACACCCCAGCCAAGCGCAGCACACCTGCAAAAACAACCCCGACGAGAAGCGCGCTCGGCTCCGAAGCGCGCGAGTGGGCGCGGGCGCTCGCGCTGCCCGCGGCGGACGTGTGCGAGCTGCTCGAGCGGCTGCAGGGCGACCCGGACGCCTCGCAGGAGAATGTCTTCCACCTGTGCCTCCCGCCCGCGCTGTTCGCGGGCGTGCTGCTGCTCGCGTCGAGCCTGCTGCGCGGGCGGGAGGCGGGGGAACAGGTGGGAGGAGGGGAAGACGGCCGGGAGGATGTATGGAGACGGTTGGTGGTGTATGGGGGTATGGCGCTTGTCGCGGTGGCGACGTTGAGGGTTATGGTGTGGGTGGGGGCGAGGGGGGTCAGGGAGACTGTCAAGTGCAGTAGGAGGGATAATGCGGCGACGGCGTTTAGTAAGCCGAACTCTCCGCTGTTGAAGCAAGCGATCGAGTTCGAGGGGATACCGATGCGGTTATGAGGAGGAGCTAAAGAGGTGAGTTGCTGCCTGACGTCAGTTGATGCCTCTTCTCACTTGATGATTTCGCAGGGAGGCGCGCCGCTCGTCTACGCGCTTTGGTTTTGGTGGCTGATGACAACATCTATGAGGATAAATGTGCCAGTACCATTATACCCTCTCTACAGTCCCCACCGTCTGTATCCCGTTACTTGTACAATCATTAGAACGGTTAATTCGATTCATGCCGTCCTGGATAGTTGCAAGGGGATTTCCGTAAAGTGATTGTTCAAGGCCCTTTGACTGCATGTCGAGTAGGGCTTTCCAACCAAGCAATGGCCCTCTCGAATACTTACAGAAGAGCCTGGCAGATACTAGTAGATAGCAGTGAGCGCCTGGAAGTAACCCTAACCAGCTCCCATTCAGACTCAGCGAAGCAGCATCGGCATTCACGTGACCAACGCGTCTTGTTGTCACCGTCCGTGGTGACATTTCCCATCCCGACCACACTCGCGTCGATAGCTCTCCGCGTCGAGGACGCGATGGCGCGGTCTGTTCATCGGCACAACAGTCCCGCGGACGATGTAGACGACGAGCTCGACGCGGGGAACGTAAACGAAGTTGAAGACGAGCGAGTCTTCGTGCAAGACGGCAAACCCATATACTTCTACCTCCACCGATTGACGGCGGCACAAGTACGAGCGTTATACAAGAAGATAACGGTATGTTGTGATAAGCGATGGGTCTGCGTATGTGTGCTGAACGCAGGACTATTCCTTGCTTCCTACTTCTTTCTCTTCGCACGTAACCGACTAAGACCAATGGCGGACGCGTCTGCCGCGACTTACAGGACGCGGACGTGCTCCTCTGCCCACCCGAGCGCGTAGGCATGCTTAGGAGGCGATACTGGATGGATGTGGACCCCGAGGTCGTGGATGTGGGGTTCGTCGACGTGTGTATACGGCGCGGGGAGTACGCGCACGCGCCGCCGGTGCGCAAGGGGATGGGCGGGCCGCGGCCCGGGCAGGGGTGAGTCGGTTCGCTCTGTGTTGTTCTGGGGCCAGTTCTGACTGCGTCGCTGCGGCCTGGGCCAGGAGGGTGGAGTTCTCGGACGCGGACAAGGTGAATTTGGCGCGGTACCTGGCCAAGGTCGTTCCGGACCGCAAGGCGGGCGGGAGGCTGGGGAGGATCGTCTACGAGAGGCTCATGGAGCGGGTTCGTCGCATCCGGCCTGCCGCTCTGCCCTCATTGACCCGTGCGTTTCCGTCGATGATGTTCCAGGGCGAATGGGACCCTGCGTATGCGTGGGCGAAGCGGCACACGTGGGAGTCGTGGAAGCAGCATTACAAAATGAACAGGGAGTGGTTTGACGAGCGAATCAAGACGATCGTGCGACTCCACCCGCCAAGGAAGGACGGGAAAGGACAGTACGAGCTCGACCGGCGGCGTAAGAGGGGGAGAGTGTTCATCTCTGAGTTGGAGGGCACGGATGAGGATGAGGATGAGGAGGAAGGAGAGGGCGAAGAGGAAGAGGAAGAGGAGGCGGTGGAGAAACAGGTAGGACGGAGGAGACCAAGGGACGAGGATGAGGAGCGAGAGAGTATGCGCCCGCCGCCTGCGAAGAGAATGCGGCGGGCGAGCGAGAGCGTGACTTCGCCCGCGTCGGAGGTTGAGGGGGCGCGCGGTGCGCCCGCGCGGACCGAGAGTAAGGGCAAGGGAAAGCCCAGACCAGACGAGTAACCATGGTCTCCCTAGTTTATTTGTACTCTGCTTACCGTTTCACAGGGAAGAAGAGGAAGATGATGATGATGTGGACATAGACGACATCGACATGTTCAACCCGAACGGGTACTACGACCCCGCGGAGGACCTCCCCCTTGCGGGACCTTCCGGTACCCAACACTCACCTGGGGCTGGCATGAGCTCGCAGGCTACCCTGGTCGGGCCTGTACCCACCCAGCTGCGTCGCGAGCCGTCGAGTGGTAAGGTTTCTTTCGGTACCCAGCCTGTCGCGCTTGGGCAGGCAGTGAGGAGGTCGGCTCCGTACCGGCTGCAGAGTGTAGCCACATCCTCGAGTCCGGAACGCCAGGATTCTCAAGCGCGGGGCCAACCAGACGAAGCGGGAGAAAATGCAGGGGGTTCCCCAGCTGACGAAGACGTTCCGCCGCACGAGCTGGCTGATGAGGATGTCGATGTTGTCCCGCCGACAGAGGGAGAAGACCCTGAGCTGGAAGAAGAAATCGCTCCCCTGCCCGCTCCTCGACCTAAGGCCAGGCGCGCAGTGAAGAAGACGCTTTCGCAGGCGACATACGACGGCCCTGCGCGGAACACCCGCGCCCGGTCGCGTTCCGTCGACCCTACACCACCCGCTCCTCCAGCCAAGAGAGTCATTCGTGGACGCAAGGGGAAAGAGGCCGGTACCCGGGGAGGGCCAGCTACTCGCTCTCGTCAGGCTGACCTCGCCGACATTCAAGAGGCCTCATCAGACGAGGATATTATATCGCTCGAGGAAGAAGGCCCTGACGAGGCGAGCGGCGTCCCACAGGCTGGTGCCAGCGCACGCTCCCGGGGGTCGATTGGGGAGACCCAGGAGGAGGAGGAAGTGGAGAAAGCCGTCGACGCGCTCTCAGCCGCGACTGCGGAGTCGGGGGCGAGTTCCATATGGAAGCGGCTGCTTCACGAAGACAGAAAGGACTACCAGCCGGGATCTGGCCAACGCCGCAGCGTCAGTAAACATCCGTTCGACTCCGACGACCAGGAGACGATTCGGGATTTGGCGCGCTCCACGCGGCGGTCGGGCGGACGCGACAGTATCGAGGATCTCACTAACGAGCAGCTCGCAGATAATTTGGAGCAGCTGCTCTCCCCCCTTGGGAGCGCCCAGAGCATGAGGCGCGCGGCGAGTACCTCGAGCTGGGCGACGTCGGAGTCTGGGGAGGGCTCCAGGAATTTCCCGCCGCCTGGAACGAGGGCCAGGGTTGCGAAAGAGGCGCTGGAACGGACGCCGTATAGACCCCCACGGGGGACGAAGGCGGAGGAGTTTGCGAAGAGGGTATAAGCATGGATTGCGGTTTGAGTTTTTGACTTTAGTCTGAGAAGTGCTACACACGTCTAATGCTAGTTGTATATGCTTTATATCGTAGTGATAATGGGAGTTTGGGAACGTATATGACCCTCCAGCACAGGACTGTATGTGGTATACTCGCCTTCAGGTAAGCACTGCTGCGCACCCGTCGAGACGGCCGTTCGCTCGAGCGCAGCCTAGGTCTTGCGCTCTACAAACGTGCTATTCAATCTACTCTCCCCTTCAGGTTTAGGCTCGACCGGTTCTTCGCGGCACGCAATGTGAAGCAACAGTGCGACCAGCGCGTAGCAGCGATGCACTTGCCCCGACCCACCCAGCCACATATCAGCCATACCCATGCTGATTTCTACGGGTACAGTCGTCGGGTTATGTTTTCCTGAAGATCACCGACCATGCTACCAGGCTCGTGAAAGACGCAGAGGACGTCGCGTACAGGGGTGCCGAGATTCTCCCGAAGGGATCTCCCTTTCATACTGAGTTCTGGGCGCTATTACCTGTCGCTACCCTCATATCGTGGGTCCGGATCACTGGGTACCATCTTTTTCATCTCCCTGATCCTGAGTCATTTCAGCGCATAGGCCGGTACTGATACGCATGCCCGCTTCAAAAGAAGGCCTGTCACCCTCGTCGCGCTCATTGGACGTTATTATATATATTGAACACCTGAAATGGTGAAGAGCTGTCGAGGTGGCCACAGAAAAAGTTAACAGATAGAAAGAGTCTAAATTTGGATAGTACGCCTAAACAGGCCACATTGATAGAGCGCGTCCACACTGCGCATCCACTGTCCTCTTGAAGATCGAGGACAATGACCTATAAAACTAACAGATGATTAAACTATACCTAAAGGTGATACGCGTGCCCGTGTTGGGATTCGTGCGACTTCGTGTGGCTTGATGTGGCACATTGCCGAGACCAATGGCCACGTGACCACGCGCGATCCGTGACGGTCACAGTCGTGCTTCTTTCATCTCGTGGCTACAACACCAAGTCCGTCACCGTGAGCAGTTCCACGGTATACGCTGTTTAGGTATGTACTGCTTTCCAATTTGTAGCTGTAGACCTAGATAGAGTTTCAATGGCCGATTGCGTTCTCATCTTCAGGGCAAATTAATTCAGGCGTGGTTCCTTGCCGCTCACATACGCGAAGAACAAAGCACGCCTGGCCTATCAACGGGTTGATTCGCGGAACTACCCGTGTGGCCACAATCGTCGATCTATAAGTCGGGTTGTCATCGTCCTGATCAGTAAGTTCTCTCTCTTCCCCATGTCGTCCAACTATACTCATGGATCTGGTTCATCACCAGTCAAGAAAAACGCTGCAGGATCGCATAACTTCTCAGCTGAAAAGCCCAACGCAGCAACTCTCAAAGAGGATCTAGTCGACGAGATGTACGGCAAATTCGTGGGACCTCAGCCGATTGACGACTTTCTGGCGAACTTCGTGCCCGTCAATAAGGCGTGTGACCCCGAACAATTCACTAAAGTGTTCGACAAGATGGCCAAACCTGTGAGTAAGAAGAACAACAATGATCGTTTGCAAAACGACGAAGACAACCATGGTGCGCAAGATGGAGCGGGAACGGAGCATGCGCAAGACAGAGCCACGGAGCATGCGCAAGACAGAGCCACGGATCATGCGCGGGGACAGGAAACGGAGGAGTCTCTAAAGGAAGAAGAGATGTACAACAAGTTTGTACGTGGCACGTCGTAGCTTCTCCCTTCTCATACTGACGTTGGTGCCACATCCGCAGATTGCCTGTGTCGCCGAAGGGTTATGTCCCGGCTATACCTTCGTCGCCACACCCAACACGTTCGATGCAACGGAGAAGAAGATAATCGGGGGCCAGAAAGTCGATATGGCCTTGTACCGCAACGATGACCAGCCTAAGGCTGTCGAAGGCAAACCGCTTCGACCTCGATGGGATCGTATGGCGCTTTACATTGAGTTCAAGAGTTACGGGAACTCTGTCAAGTGCGATCCGTTCGATGATCGTACCACACATCCCAATGAAAATCCCGCTGCCGGTCGGGAAAGCGCAAGGGGACAATTAATCGCTTATGCCGCTGCGATGTTCGCCCGTCAGCAGCGCACTCATGGGTTCTCGATCATTATCCTTGGGGAATACGCTCGGATTATACGATGGGACCGCGCGGGCGCTGTATTCACCGAAAGGCTCAACTATGTTGCGCGTCCCGAGAAACTCGCGATGTTCCTTTGGCACTTCGCTCACCTGGACCGTCGGCAACAAGGTTACGACGACACTGCGGAGCTGATTGAGGAGGACTCGCGTCTGCACAACATGATGAAGAAAAAAATCGCAGACGGGAGCAAGATGAGTGCAAAAGACAAAGACCTCCCGGAAGCCTACGTACTGGAATATTTCAAGGACTCATGTGACCCGGATTGGCCCAAGTGGAGACTGCAGGTAGACGTTCCTGTATCTCCTGCTGACTCCGCCGCCTCAGCCTCGGGGGCCACTTCGGGCCCGACAAGACCTCGATACTTCCTCGTCGGCAGACCTCACTTCACTGCGCCTGGGATGACAGGCCGTGCCACACGGGGCTACGTCGCGCTGGACGAAGAGAGCAATGAGCTCGTATACCTTAAAGACTGCTGGCGTGTGGACCTCCCGGACATGACGAGAGAAGGCGACGTCATACAGCTTATGAACAACGAAGGGGTGCAATGTGTTCCCACGTTAGTGTGTCACGGGGACGTAAAGGGACAATGTACATCGACCCAAAAGCACTGGTCTAGGGACGCGGGCAAACCCAACCCATTCAGGCCCCATCAACATTACCGACTAGTGGTGCAAGAGGTTGGCTGTCCTCTCTCAGACTTCAAGCACTCTGAGGAATTGATCCAAGTTATTACTGAGTGTATAACGGGTATGTTCTTCTGCTGCGGCTCCGGTTGACATCCTCATTCCGTTTCTCAGGACACGCCGACGCCTTTGTAAAGGCGAAAATTCTTCATAGAGACATCAGCGCCGGAAACATCCTAATCCTCCGAACGACGGTGGACGACCAGGGGCAAACATCTGTTGTCACCCAAGGTCTCTTGAACGATTGGGATTTGTCGAAAAGCGTGGCCAGCAATAATGACGGACCGAGGCAGCCTGATCGTACGGTACGTCTCCCTGTCATCAGGCTGCTCTCTTCTTTCACTCACACACCCATTCGTTCCCCCAGGGCACCTGGCAATTCATGTCAGGGTACCTCCTCCAAACACCCTGGAAGTCGCACGACCTCCAGGATGACCTCGAGTCTTTTATGCACGTTCTGATTTACGAGGCCGTACGCTATTTGTCTCATAATTGCACGGACGTGGGGGGATTCGTCTGGCATTTCTTTGACATCGCCAGCAGATCCGGAGACGTCATCACTGGCGGGATCGGGAAGATCGCAGCCATAAGCCGCCGAAAACTGGTCACACCTTTGGGGAAGAAGCTCAAGTTTTTCGAGCCGCTTCAGAGTCTTATTGACGAGCTCATGTCGTGGTTCCAGGCCTACTATGTCATGCACGACATTTCGACGCCAGAGGAGCCTGAAGCACCTGAGGACGACAAGCTCACCTACGTCAACAGAAAGAAGAAGGAGACTCTGGGAAAACCCAAGACTTTTCTTGCCAGCGCGCCAGCATCTGCACGGGCAATGGACAAAGTGAGATATGAAGCGCTGGCGAAAAAGCTAGACACCCACAGTGCCATGATGGACCTCTTCTTGGCGTACTATAATCAAACCTGGCCCGAGGATGACAAGAAACCGGATCAGTTACCGGAGAAGTACAAACATGATGCCCGATGTCGACCCCGCGACTCCACTACGACGTCCAAACGAACCGCGATTCATTTGGAGGGGGACACGGCTTCTGCCAGCAGTAGCGGTCGGCGCTCCAAAGTGGCGAGGAGCGGCATGCATACCAGTGTCTCTCGCGGATGATGATGAGCATGATAACGTGCCGTCAATAATTGTTCCTGTTTGTCTCCCTATCATGCACTGCTGTCTCTGCTCGGGTATGGGTCATCGGATTTAGGTAGTTGCAGTGATTGTATTCTCATGAACTTCAGTCCAACGATCTGATTGCACGTATAGCACAATGTCATCTTCATGTCGAGATCCAATATCTATCTTTATCGCTCGTCATACGCGTACGTGTGTCGCTAGATCCAGGGGGTCAACTGGCATGCCGTCGGTGTATGATACCACCGAAAGAAAAATGAATATCATCAATTCGGTACCTTGAGATGCGATGGCATAAAATACGATGCTCAAGTACTGATGCACCGTACACGACGACCTTGGAAGTTGTAGTCATACTGTAGCATACTATGTGGCGGCCAGCGGTGGCTGTACCGACGCGGTGGGCACGTGACGAACACGCGCTCCCACGACGAACAGGCCGTCCAGAACGGGCTCCGCATCGAACACAAGGCCATCACCTGCCTACACCGCCTGGTCGCTGGCCGCCACGATGAGCAGGCGAGAATCACGCAACTCGGCCGCGTCCAGGCAGAACGATGCGCTGCTCGAGTTCGAGAACTGTGAGTTGACTAGTGCGATAAGCGCTGTGTTTCGTTGCGTTATGACCGTGTGGATATCTGACCATGACTATAATGCGGCAGTCAAGAAGAAATTCCTGCTTGCGAACAAGCATATTACCAAGTACGTTCCGCTTTGCGGAGAGGTCGGAGGATGCTGACGGTTGCGATATTGGATAGACTGAACACGACGCTGAGTTGCAAAGTCGAAGAACTCCAGGCGCAAATCTCGCAGCTCTACGTCGAGAACCTCAGTCTCCGCGCCTCCAGCATTGCCCTGGAAGCGCAGCTCAGGCGCGAGAAGGAGAAAACGAGGAAGATCATGGCAGACGCCGACGACGCGGTGCGTATCACGCTGATAGTGGCACCAGGCACCGAGACTGACACTTGCTTACCTTGTCTAATGGTGAACAGGTTAAGAACCTTATGCGACATTTTACCTCCATTCGCGATGCACACAAAATCCCAGAGGGCAGGCCATCACCCGACAAGCCCGCACCCGCCCCGCGCATGCCCCGCCCCACGCCCCAGCCGACGTTCCAGATGCCGCGGCTCTCTCGCGCGCCCGACATCCCCGGAATCAATGAAGCCGAAGAAGAAGAAGACGATGACAACGACGCAGACGACACGGAGGGCAGCGGATCGACGCCGACGCGGCGCAAGAGAGGCTCGTCTGCCAGACGCGCATCGGGGTCGAAGCTGCCCCTGCCTGCCACCAGACAGGTTGATTTGAACGAGGAGGCGACGAAGACGAAGAAGAAGCGGATCGCGCGGCGACAGAGCGGACTTCTTAGCCTCACGCCGGCTCCTCTTGATATTGAGGAAATGATGCTGTCTCCGCCGCGCCCACCGAGCCCGGCGTTCGGGTCGCCCATTCGCCGTGAGGCGGGACTCGCGGAGGAGGAAGAGGAGCGCGCAGCGTTGAGCGGTGAGATTGAAGTGGACGAGCCGGAAGCAGACGAGGTGGCAGAGATGCTGGAGAACGAGGCGAGGAGGGAGAGGGAACGGAAGGAGAGGAAACGCGCGAGGGAGCGTGAGGGGTCAGGGTCGACGACGACCGAGAGGGGGAGGGAGCGCGAGAGGAAGAGGGCGGCGAGGGAGGATGCGGAGGAGGATGGAGAGGGCAGTGGGGGTGGCAAGTTGAAGCTGAAGGACGTTACGAATTCGCCAAGAGGGCGTGTGGCGCTCCCTCTGCTTGATACCAATCCGTCGGGTGAGTCTCCGTCTGTCTATCTCCTCCGCGATCTGCATTTGAGTGTTGTCCAACTCTATCTCTGGTTGACGGGTGTTTGTGGATTCTCCGTCTCCCGACCGTGCTCTCCGTTCACATTTGTACCTAACTAACCTAAACCTTACCCAGATCGCGAGAGACCCGACCCTGAGATACCCAGCTCCGCGACATCCGCGGGGACCACCTCCACCTTCGCGACACGTAACTTCCTATCAACACCTGCAACAACCCCAGCACCAACGCACACGCCGCAGATTCGCGCTTCCTCTCACCTTCCGACGCCGCGGCCGTCGTCCAGCCCGCCAGCTGAAGAACCGGCTCCACAACCGCAAGATGCAGATGCGATGGTGACTGGACGGGAGAGGCGGGTGCGGAAGAGTGTTAATTACGCCGAACCGAAGCTTAACACGTGCGTTTATGTTTCTACGTGTTAGAAACGTTGTACTGACGTGGTGCGTTTGGGTTGTCCGCTATATTACCTACCTACCTCCGATCCGATCCTCCCGCCGCGCTTCGCGGATCAATGCATGTCACCACGACCTTGTTGCATCTTATCTTAGGAAAATGCGGAAACCGGACCCTCCACCCGGTTCTTCGACCTCTAAGCGCACCTCGACGTCCTCCGAGCGGCGCTCATCCGCCGCCTCCGTTCCCGATGATGCGCCCCGCCCGCCATCGTCATCCTCCTCTAGCACCGGCACCGCGAGCAGGCGGAAGAAACCGCGGATGGTGCTGGATGAAGGGGAGGACGAGGACGAGGGCGCGCAGGCGGACGCAGAGTTCGTCGCAGGGGTGCATATGCAGTGGGTGAACACCCAGGGAAGGCGGAAGAGCGTGCATACGAATAGCGCGAGGGGGCGGGTGGAGAACGATGATGGGCGGAGGCATAGTATGGCAGTGTAAGGGTGGGATGAGGAGAACGGGGAGGGGGAGGTTTTTGTTTGTTATGGTTCAAACTTACTGAATAATTGCAAGGAACAGCAGAGATGGCCGCTATTGTATAGCAGTATGTATGTTCGGATAATTATTGGTCGTCTATGATTATCTACCTATGATGATTACTTTATGTAACTTTGTTTCTTTGGTTAGGCTGGCATCTATGGTGTGCTGAGAGCATGGATAGGAGCGAAGTCGCAAAGGATCCGGAGACGCCTTCTCTGAATCAGTCACTAGCTCTAGTGCTGGTCTCCCTCCTCCCCCCTTCGTCCGACAGCGTCGGCGATGTCTTCAATGTCTCTGAAGCGGATTCTAGTATGCCCTGGCACTTCCCAACCCCCGGTCATGGGATACAAAGTTATGCATTCCATTTTCGGCAATTATATCTAGACGGCCGTTTCCTATTGGTTTCCGTCCTCTGAGGCGTTGTCCGCTGCCAGCTTGTCGCCTTCCTAACTGTGATATTCTGTGTCATAGGCAATTGGCAGCTTCTATTTACAAGACTACTTCAAGATAAACTGCCAATGTCGTGTATTGGCCTGGTGAATAGGACAAGAATGATTAGCCCTGCTAGAAGGGTCCCATGACTGACCGGTCATCTGAAGCTTCTGAGGGTCGGTCTCCGATTGGCCCCGAGACGCCCGATGAGCGGTACTTAGATCTGAGAAGGAAAGGCGGGGAAGTGGGGAAGACTAACCAATTGCGTCTCACAGCAGCCCAGCTGATCCTCTGCGGCACCGCGCAGACATCTTTACTGGGCCATAGCGTAGCGTCTGATGAACCCAGTCGCCTGCACTGATTTCCCGGCGATTTAAAGTAGTGGGCGCAGCGAGGAATCGTGTCTCTCCTTTCCATTTTCCTCTTGTCTCTAAAGATGGCGACGCTGACGCCGACGAGCGAGGATCTGGACATGCGCGGCGAGAAGGATGGGTACATCCTCGATGCAAAGCAGGCCGAGCACGAGTACCGAGACTCATCGCTCAAGGTCTCGCCGGACGGGCATACGGTTCTCATTCCGCAGCCTAGCGACGACCCGGACGACCCATTAAATTGGAGTTGGGTGAGTACATGTGCTCAACTGGCTTCCGTACGTTTACTGACGAGGGTACAGGCCAAGAAGCATGCCATACTGCTCATCATCAGCGCAACAGCGCTCCTCCCAGGTCAGCCGATTTTTACCCCGTCGTTATCCAACCACACCTCCTGACAGCCCTGCCATTCAGATTATGGTTCAGCCACGGGTGCAGTCACACTGCTCCAGCAAGCAACGTAGGTGCCTCCACCTGTCTTATCTGCCTTTGCCAGTTTCCACTTCGCGCTCCCACCCGATCTCACGGCGGGTCCGGCAGGATATGGCACATGGACCCCGATGTCGTGAACCACTCCCAAGTTGGCAACGTCTTCATGCTCGGCGCGGGCGGTGTTGTCGTAGTAGCGTTATCAGGTGTGTTCTCATTCTCCTTGGACCTTCCCAGTCCCCGGAATAGAACATAGCGTTAAACGGATATTTGTGCTTCTCGCAGCGTTCTTCGGCCGCCTCCCCGTATTATTCTGGTTCACCGTCGCAGCTTTCGCCACGGCAGCTGGGTATGCGCTATTCACAGTTGAATATAAGAAAGATGGATGCTCAATTCTGCACCTTGCACACAGATGCGCGGGCGCTGCGAACTTCGAGGGCTTCATGGCCGTACGCATCCTCAACGGCTTCTTCTCCACTGTAGCCCAGGGCGGTGGGCTCATGTTCATCAAGGACATATTCTTCTTCCATGAGCACGCGTACGTTTGCTTCCTACTCACTCCTCCCTGCCTCCAACCATTCATTCTCGCCGCAGCCGCAAAATCAATATTTGGGATGCCTTTATCATCCTCTCGCCATATCTCGGCCCGTTTGTCGCCGCCTTTGTCATTTCCTCCCTCCTCTGGCGCTGGGCATTCTGGATATACACCATCCTGACCGGGTTGTGTCTAGCTGCCATTGTTTTGTTCGCGGATGAGACGTATTATAATCGCAAGATCCCACGGGAGGCGCAGCCGCCGCGGGGGACCAGGGTAGAAAGACTGGTCGGGATTAGCCAGGTACGATGGGCTGTGTTTATTTTGGGAAAGGGAGGAGTACTGATCGGAGCGCTCTCAGTGGAGATCAAGGCACCTGAGGAACTCGTTCAAGGAGGCGATGATGCGCCCCATAGTTGTCCTCATGAAGCCCGTCGTCGCTCTCTCCACAGTTTACTACTTAAGTGAGTAGCCCTATCCTCCGATCCTCCCTTGATTCTCAGCTAATGAATAACTCCCGCTAGTTACATTCGCATGGGTCGTCGGCATCAACACAAGTACGCCATTATCCCCTACTCCGCCCGTCCCCTCCTCGCTCTAACTTCTACCCCCTTCTTACCCAGCCCTCTCCATCTTCGTCACACCCCTCTACGGCTTCGGCCCCGTTCAAATCGGGCTCTTCTACTTCACGCCGATGATCGCCGCCGTCCTAGGTCAGATCCTCGGTCACTGGTTCCACGACTTCCTGGCCGCGCACTACATCCGTACGCACGGCGGCGTCTTCGAACCGGAAGCACGTCTACGGGCCGTGTGGTTCAGCACGCCGTTCATGTGCACCGGCCTGGTGGTTGTGGGATTTGCGCTCGAAAGGGCGTGGCACTGGGCAGCGCTCGCCGTCGGGTGGGGCCTGTTCGTGTTTGGAATTATGATTACGACCGTCGCGCTTCAGGCGTATCTTTTGGATTCGTACCCCGAAGCGTCGGGAGAGGTCGCCGCGTGGATCAATTTCGGGCGCACGACAGGAGGTACGTTGTGATGCTTGTCTATTGCCAATCGAAATCCGGTAGCCAATGCTGATGTTACCGTTTCACCGACGCAGGCTTCATCGTATCGTATTTCCAAGTGACGTGGGCCAACAAACTGGGGACCGAGGCCTCGTTTGGGACGCAGGCTGCGATTAGCTTCGCCGCGTTTCTCCTCGTACCGCTCATGCAATGGAAGGGCCGGGAGCTGAGACACCGCGCCGGGCCTCTGAAGTTCCACACCACATAAAAATTCACACGAGTCAAGAACCAACGCTTTGACTGCTGATGAAGGGTAGATCTGTACTGTATAGCGTTCTGTATGATCAGCATCCCGCTATTTCCTTCTTCGTTCTTCATGATGACTGACGTACTGCGACGATTTCTGCAATCTCTCTCTGTTCGATGCATGTAACAGCTCGTAATTTATCGTACAATTTCCTCCCGCCGTTATTCGACCCCTTCCGCTCATCCGAGATACTTGGTTCCAAAATATGGCCTGTGTTCAAGATCGAGCCACTTACAGATAGGCCTATCAAGGGGCCGTTAGGGGACAGCGTACCGTCGTCGGCGTCTGGGTTCACTTACCGCAGCGTTGGGAGGACTCGCCACACCACCCAGCCTGTGAGTCTGCGAGTTAGCTCTCCGATCTCGGTCACAGTCTAGCAGGTGAAATGGCACATACACGTTCAGCGGCCAGGATGAAAAGAAGAAGGTCCATCGTCCTTGCTCCGCGCACGCCTTCGATAAAGCCTCAAGGTCAAAGAATTCCCCTAAGATAGATGCTAATTCAGGCATCTAATAGTCAATCGGTCATAAGCAGTGCGCACCAATGGGCATGCCCCATAGACTGCACAAGGGATTAGTGTATTGGCTTGCATAAAGTTCTTTCCACGCACCCTAGGACGGTCTGGGAGATTGGTCCATGCGTAAGTCGAGGACGAAACGCCGGGTCTAGGCGACGCACCTGATGCATATGAGGGGTCCCTTCTGGCGTAGGCCACCTCTACAGGCCGTTCAAGATTCAAAGGGAGACTCAAGAGAACGCGGATGACCACGAACCTCCAGAGCTGGCTGATCCGAAGCTATGGCAGCAAAGTGATTGTTCCTATGTATGGAGCAGATTGAAGATACTCCGGCACTCGACAAGCCATGAATGCGTACCACAAGAACCGCTTCATATCGTCAGACTGCTCAATACCGGCGCTAGGGACATTCAACCCTGTCAATATCGGAAATCGACAACAGACGAGGATAACAGACAATGTCTCTTTCTTTCCCCGTAGCTCATCGCGCTGTGCTTGGGTAACTTGAGAATACTTTTGAATGAATCCGACCCTGAGAAGCAGAATGTCGCCCGTCCTGAATGTTACACCTTCTTTCTTGGCGCAGGCTTCCAGGTCAGCCACGGTAATGGCATGCGTAGTCCACGGGTCATAGGGCAGGCTCCCATGTTCGTCGGTGAAATATTTCACAACGTCCAGCAGGACGCCGCGACCACAGATGCCGTGCTGAGCCCAATCTGCAAAGGAATATCATGGTTTCTGAGCTCCTAAAAAGACGGTCAGACGTACTGTGAATTCCGAGTTTCAACACTGCTGGATCCAGTTTGTTCGGATCAGGCATCTCGAAATGTCCCTTAGGAATGATATCATCCGGGGTGCTAATTCATCAATAGCGTTAGTATTAAACAGAGCAGCTAATGCAAGCAGTCACTTATTGTAGAACACACGATGCTCTCTGATGCCAAAGTGCTTCAGACCATCCCATTGGGAGCCAGATTGGGTGTTCTATAGGGTCGAGATTCAGAATGTGTTTCGAGGTTCAGATGCGAGGATTCCTACGATGTAAATCTCATCGTCATTGACGGCTGGATCGCCTTTGTTCCGTGATTCAATATGGGGAATCTTCCTCCCGAACATTGGCTAAGGTACGTTTATGGTAACCAATTCTCAGGCTGTTGGATGTTCTGAATTACGCACCTTCGCTGGAAAATTGATAGGCCTGGTGTACTCGTATATAATCTCGGGAAACCTGTACAGAACGCGGATGCCTACCAATTCAAACAAACAGTCTTCCCTGTTCTGTAAGAATGCGAGGTTCATGTCACGTATCCAGTAGGAAAGTAACGAGTGGACTCACTTGATTTCCTCCTGTGCTGCGCGTTTGACTACGTCGGCGGTTAAGAGATTGACGGTGCCTAGTTGATCATCGGAACCCCAGACGCTCCAAGCACACCCTTTGAAGTCCTTCCACGTAGGCAATTCATCAAAGGTCGGAAGTTTGCTGTGGTCAATGGTGGTCATGGTTTCAGCAGAACGTCAGGTCAGGACTGGATATGAAGGGGGATTCTGGTTTTCAGCGTTCATGATATGGGGGATATTTAAAGGTCGCGGGAACGAAGGCCAAGAGATTTCCGGAATACCGCCACTATCTGGTCTCGTGGACAGTAGAGAGCACGAATGTGGTCGAAACGCCACTGTTCTTAGACACAGACGAGTCACCATGCACTGATAAGATGTCATACCACTTGGCGTGTTGCGAATCGGTGGGCCGACTCCCGTACTGTCAACGAAGGGTAGGAACACCGCAATACATGCAAAAATAGATTTTATGAGCATTGGACAGTTGTAAGAGGTTAACAAAGTACATTGGCTGGTACAAGAAGGTGAAGCACTTGCCCAGATACCACGAAGGTCCCGGCCTTAATATCCCCGAATAAAGGGATGGGCGAGTGCTTCTTTGGGCGTAATACGCCGGGCAGGGTCGAGCATGAGACAGCGGTCTAGTAGATCGACGAAAGACGTTAACAGTCTACTCTCATCGTCTTTCAGCTTCGCCGCCGACGTTGCAGGCATCAACCGGGCACGTAGATCCCGGGCTGGCTTCGCAATATGGACCTTGCGGATGACGTCCTGGAAGGGAAGAGATGTCAATTAGCCAAGGCAAACTGGCGGAGAAGAAGCACTTACAGCGCCAGTGACACGGTCTTTCTCGACACTTTGGAAGGTACCCAAGTCGTCGAAGTACATATCGCCGAACTTCGCCTTCTTGATCATCTTCGAGTTAAACCTTCCCTTCAATTCCATCATGAGCAAGAGCATCTGGTTATTCGAGCGTCCGGGGAAAAGAATCTTGCCGGTGTACAGCTCGTAGAGAGTGCAGCCGATCGACCAAATATCGATGGCCGGATCGTAGGGAACTCCTAGGACTTCACAACAGGTCAGGTTCACTGCAGGAGGTACCGTAGAGAATAACGCAACTGATCTCCGGCGCCCGGTAGAACCGGCTCACGAGGTAGGGTGTGATCTCGTTCTCAGAAGCGTCAGAAGCCGACCCAAGGTCGCACAGCTTCAGGAGAGTCTTTTGCTCATTTACCTGAAGTCAGATCCACATCATGTTCAACATACCTTTCGCACAAAAATGGGAAATCGTGACGCACCAAAATATTATCGGGTTTGATATCAGCGTGCATGACATTGCACTTCCGCAAGAGGCTCAAGGCCAAGAACAGCTGGTGAGCATATGCTCTTACTGCCTTGATATTAAGACCAACGTCTTTACCGAAACGCTTCACAACATCCCGTAGATTCATACTGACGCAGCGAGTTAGCAATAGACCGGACGCCACAGGAAGTGCAGGCAAACCTTAAGGATTCGAAGACGAGGCATAAATGACCCCGATGCTCGAAAGTCCGCTCTAGCCGGACAACATGCTTCTTATCCTCTGGATCGGCCTGCCGAAGCTTGTTCAATATTTGGGCTTCCTTTAGCCCAGCTTTATACCTAATTGTCCTGTCAATCATGTATGAGCCCACACAAGGAGCGGTACGAACATCGTCTCCTGACTCCGTACGATCTTTATGGCAACTTCTTTACCAGCCTCAACGGGTTCACCGTTTATCACCCGCGCACGGACAACGTTTGCGAACATGCCCTTGCCAAGAGAAGAAAACACTTGATACCGGCCCCCGTCGAGCTGTTCACCCAGGATGATCTGATAATATCCTTCCGAATCTGCAGCGGAGTCTAGCGTAGTAGTAACGAGAGCTGGAGCAGCAGGTTTCTACGCAAATTGTTAGGTATCATTGACGCATCGTGTGTGCCTGTACTCACCGCTGCTCTTTTGACTTTCTTGACTACCTTCTTCTTCTTCTCGGGTTTCGTAGCTACTGCGAACATATCGTCCAGATCGTCGTCGTCTTCCTCTTCCTCTTCTTCTACCATCTCCACGTCGTCATCCCCCTCAGGGACACCGCGGACACGCTTTTCCTCGTCCTCGCGTCGATCAAGGCTTGGATCGTAGTCAGCGGCAGAAATCTGCTCGCCAGTTCCGTTCTGCTCCTCTGCCTTCATCTGTATATCTTCCTGTTCATCATTCTTAGCGAGATCAAATGTCGGAGTCGGTGACGCGGATGCAGAATCCCGTTTGTCTGCGGGGGGAAAGGGACATCGATGAGCCAAGTACTATACGATAAAGGAAGCACTGACCAACTGAACCATCCGTCGCAGCAGGCTGGCCATTCAACGGTGTACTGGGTGTATCGCGGGAAGCGCTGTGGGGCTGAGATGAAGGATCAGAAACTGAAGGAGTAGTCGGAGGCGGCTGGACCGCACTGCTAGGTCCCGGACTGGGGCTGGCATCTTGGCCTCCCGTGGTCAGTCCCTTGTTCGCATACTTGGCTAGGATGGCCTGTCGTCTGGCTCGACGAGCGGCTAGAGTCTCCTCCACTGGAGGAGGGGAGGCAGCCAATGTTAGCCCGTAGTCCATCTCTTGTGTTTCTTCCTTCTTGGGCTCCTGGAGTTCTGCTGTCGGCGCTCGAGTTGATGGGGTTGGAGGCGGTGAGGTTGCACGACTCGGACGAGGCGATATCCTAGTACACACATAATGATATTAGCCGATGTCTCAAGAACCGGATTCGAGAGCTCACGATACTCACTCGCCTTCCTCCTTTTCCGAGTCTGGCTCCGGAGGACGGGAGTGTCGAGGGTTGCTTCTGGGCGTAGTGCTGCGATACCTCTCTCGTTCGCGGCCATCATCTCTACGAGGCCGCGAATCCTCCCTTCTTCTAGACCTGTCCCTTCTATCGTCGAAGTCCGGTCCACGATCCTTGCTGCGTTCACGGCTATAGCGCCGATCCCGCTCTCTATCCCGGACGCGCTCATAGTCGCTAGGTCGTCTATGCCCATGATCTCTAGGCCGGCCATAGTCTCTACTGTCTCTCCTATCGATACTTTCACGTCTACTGTTGGGACGCTCTCGCCTCGGTGACCTCAAGTGCACGTCCCGCCAGTTCTTAGGCTCGTCCCTCGTTCTCTTGTACGACAAGTAGTCGTCGCCACCATCCCGAGGCCGCTTGGATCCTGAGGACACGTCAGTCATCGTAACAAATACGCAATTGGGGTTACAGGGCACCGCACGATAGAACTGTAGAATATGCGGAAGCCCGAAGGTCGTTGGTGGTTCACAGTCAGGTTTCGGATGCCGAGCGCGCCCTCATACAGAGCCATGCTTTGTACATGTTTGGAAACAGTGGCTACGGATTGCATCGTCAAACAGAAGTACTAGTTGTAAGAAAGGAACTACAGAATACATGTGGTGCATAGTTTAACCTAGCATGAAATGTGTAGCAATAAGCTTAGAAAGTAAGTACCATAAGGGGTTCGCGAGCTCGCCAACGCATGACCCTACTGGGCCCCAGACTGGCTACTCCCTTTCATCGCCACATCCGCGGCACTCTCATCCGTCACATCCCTTAACCACCCATCAAAATCCACATCCTTATCCAGCAGCGCATTAACTCTATCCACCTCTCTATCCACATCAAACTGCGAATTATAATCCATACCCGTGAACCCGAGCCCGCCCTGACTCTGGCTGACCCCGAGTCCGGAGATCGCGACGTACCCGCCGGGGTTCGACTCTGGCTTGCCCTGGCTGGTGCTGGCAGTGTCGCCGTAGCCATACCCACCAGAGCCACCGGACTGAGGCTGCTGCGTCGATGCCATCCTGGGGAGGAATGCGGACGGGTGCTGCGTGAAACGCATCGAAGGCGAGTCTGGCTCTGCCGGCGCGAAGACAGGGAGGGGGCCGTCCATTGGATCAGGTGTCGAAGGGCCCAGGGCAGGCGATGCCAGGGACAACTTTCGCGTCAATGCCGCAGGGCGTGGGTCGACATTCGCGTCCACTTTCATCGGTGAACCAGCTTCTCGGCCCTCCTGAGAGGCTTCTGGTATTCGCTGCAAAGCATTTTTGTCCCTAGCCTTATCACCAGGGCTAGGCACGATCCTGAGTTCCGTGCGCTTTCTCTTAGCCCCGCTTCCGGACCGCTGCCTACTCGCAAGTAGTTCCGTCAGCGTAGGGAGTTTCTCAGCCCTATGCGGCGTGAAGGGCGCGAGCCCTACACGACACGAGCTGCCGCTCTTCGGCGGCGTCGTGGGCGGCCGTACGTTGCCTGGCGTTCGAGGTATAGGCAGGGACACGACCGCAGGGGCGTCACCCATCGTTCGGGCTTTCTTCAGCGCAGTGGGGGACGCCAGCGAGTTGCTCCGCATTCGCACGTCGTCGGAGCTCGGCGTGAGCGGCCGCGCGCGTTTACTAACCGACAAGACCGGCTGGGACGAGCTCTGCCCGAGGCGCAGGCTAGACGAACGAGGCGGGGAAAGAGGGGGTGATGAGAGGAAGGGGTGTGTTTCGTCTGCTCGCGGCATTGCGGCTGGTTTGCGTCTAAGCCTGTTCGGCGTGGAGGTCTGGAGGTGGTCGGGAAAAGATGGCTGGAGGAAGGACTGTCCGGTAGCGAGAGAAGAAGGTAGTGAATGTGTAAGGACGAATCGCTTTTGTAAGAGGAATGGACTGTATTTACCGATTCTGGGACGTCTGACACGATCCTGCCTGGCCGCTGCTTGGTGTGAGTTGAACGCGACGAGAATGGTCCCGGGTCAGTGTCAAACACGTCTCGTGGACGAGGGATGGGCACTTTTGCAGCCTCTATTGGGTCCGGGTCGCCGATGGGACCCTCGCGCAAAGTCTGCCTTTCCAGCCTGTTATTACTTCCTTTTCCTGCGAGTTGTCCTTGACTCGAACTTTTGACGACCGGAAATGGCAATGAAGGCTGCACCTGAGCGTTAGATATGATGTCCGGGTCTGCATGCCCATCGGGGTGAACACCGGAAGGGCCAGGGTTCACCGAGACTATGTTCATGGCTTGAGAGCCCATTGTTGACGCGCTAGGCTGCTGAACCGTCGCCTGCCAGACGGCAACCTTCTCGATAATATCAGCCACCCGCCTCCTCTGAGGTCGTTTGCGATTCTCCTCGTGAACGTTCCTCACCAGTTCCTTCGCCTTCGCACCCTCCTCATCGACCGCCTTTTCCTTCCCCTTCCCTTTGCTCTTGGATAGTTCAATCTCCCTTCTTTCTCTCACCTTCCGTTCCCAGGCTAACCAGTCGTCTTCCCGCTCTGGGAGCTTCCGCGCACTGTAGACCTCCCACTTCTCCTTGCCCTTCTCCATTCTCGCGCCGACTCTCCACCGCCCCCTTGTCCCCGCCAGTCGACACTTCGCCGCTACAAACGTCCACTTCGCATCGCTGGGCTCCCAACCCGCTTCTTCCGCTGCGTGCTGGATGTCCCTCCTCATCGCAGCAACTCTCAGCTCGGAAGAAGGGGACGGCGGTCGAGATGCGGGGTGGATGTCATGTGGAAGCGACGCCAGCGCGAGGTGTTGACTGGAGAGGTAGTTGCTGTATGTCTGGTCTCGGTGACGTCGAGGACGTTGTCGGGCATCTTGGTCTGAAGAGCCGGAGGAAGAAGAGGATAAAGGATGACGGGGCTCGGGGAGGGTAGTCGGAGGAAAAAGGGGGGTGTAAATGGAAGACATGCCTCCGCTGAAGTTGATTGTGTATCGCAAGCCTTCGTCTGGTCAACTTGCAAGTGCAAGGTCAGAGCCTGGCAGGAAATACGGTCTTCGGGAACTCAACAAAGTTTCTAATGATTCTACCCTCGACTTGATTGACTCGGTGGCGTCCGTTGTCCTTGAGCTTAGGGTTAGGGATTGCGTTGACCTTGTTCAATGGATGTATACAAAAGTCGAAAGTTTCGCACCCACACCGGTTCAAGTGACCACAACCACAAGGAGACTATATCTCGTATTGTCGTTGTGTAAGCAGGAGCTGAGGTCTGAATGCAATCCAAGTATATCGATAAACTGTGGCAAGGCTGAGAAGGCTCGGAACGGGACGTTCGTCGGTAAGTCGAATATATTACGTAAATATGACAATTTCCATTTCAGGGGACTCCTCCACTGGGAGCGCTTCCTTGGAACGACGTATCATATACGAGGCGACTGCTCGTGTCTATCAGCATGATACAGTATAAAAGCACATTTGCAGCCCATGCTCAGGTGCAAGCCGTACTCGACACTAAGTGCAGCTCCAGGGGCGTTGCATCCAGCAGGGCGCGGCAGGTGCCGGTACGCCCCAAACCGCGTTTCAGTGCGATAACAATCAGTCCTTCACGACATCCAACATCCTAGTCGACATTTTTATTTATGAATCTACAAATGCCCGTCGTGAAGGTCCAAACCGTAGGGGACAGCAGGTGGACGAAACCAGCGAGAAGCGGCTTAATATCAATGCGACCGTCCGCTTGTAGCTTTGTCGTCTGTCTACTGGTCCTCCATCGTAACTCGAGAGCTCATTCTGCGAGCCAATCGATCTTCCGAACACCGCTATGCACTCTCTTCCTTCTCCCTCTCTGTCTGCCCGTCGATCGCCGGCAAGCGCTCTCCTCCAGTCTGTACCTTGATGTCCATGCCGTCCCATGAGATGTTGTGGGCAATATGGGCCAGTGAGTCAATGTCACCCCGAGTGACATCGGCTACATCAGAGATAGTAAGATTGTTTATGTGTGCGTTGTCGCAGTGCTTAAATAGTCTTAGCAGCTGCTTCCTGGTACCACCCCTCACAATCGCGGATTCCAGCTTCGGAAATAAAGCAGGTACGTTTTCCGCTCCCATGAAGTCTAATGGAACCACTCTGGCGCTGCGATCATGCAATCGGAGAGTTCGCACCTCAGGCATGTGCTCGAATAACGCTGCCCAGTCTTCACGAGTCGCAGTCGCGCACTCGCCATCGACGATCTGGAGATCATGGACCGCGCTCAAAGACTCGCCAAGGGCTTCTGTGATCGTCGGTAGGAAGTTCTCTTGCAAGTGCAGATTGTCGAAATCCAGGTGGACGATCGGTCTGCTTGCGCATTCCTCGAATGCCTCCAAATTTCGCCCAAACTCCAGTTCCAAAGAAAATTCATCACGGGCGCGGAAACGGCAGGCGTGGAAGCCGTTTTCCCTCTCAGCCTGGCTCACTATCGGCGCGATGAGCTCCATGATACCGGGAAGTACAGTCTCATCGTCCTTGGAGAGAATCGATAAATCAGCCTGTTTAAGCTGCGGAGTGCGGATGTAGCCAAGGAATCGAACGTCTTCGACTTCTATCGGATCCACAGATATGCGTTCCAACCTCGTCAGAGATATCACGTCGTGAGGTGAAACGGGTCGAGCATCTATGCTTGATAGGATCTCGAGCGACCGAAGATTTGGAACAGTGTCAAGAGTACCGAGGAGATCGTCCGTGGATAGTACCACCATAGGATTGTCCAGAATAAGATCCGTAGTGGCATCGGATAGCAGCGGCTCGTAGGACTTGAAGGATACGTTGCAAAGACTGAGTTTATGTAGCCGCGTGCTCTGGAGGCCACCAAGGTCAATCGACTCATCATCTCCTCCTTCGTCGGTGCCCACGATCCTGGTCAACCTGAGCTCCTCGAGCTTCGGCATGCCCTCGCCAGCGCCCAGCTTCCGCAAGTTGCCCGTCGAGATCTCCAAGTCCAGCAGCCGGATTCGGTTTGACTCCCGAAGTATGTACTCGATCTTCTTTGCGTCAGCGTCCCTATCGCTCACCAGATTCCCTCTGATAGAAAGCGGCGTCGACTTGCCACTCCGCCGGATAATCTCAGCGACAAAGTCGGGCGTGACACCGCTGACGACGATGTTGCTCCAGAAGGTTCCGTTCCCCAGGATGATATCCTTCCAACGCTCACAGACCTTCATCAAAAGCTCCGCCTCTTCGTAACACTTTCGGCTTGACGCCCACCTGGCCGAAGCGTCGGCGATAGCCAGCGAAAAGATCTCACAGAGAATCTCTAACGGGAGGCTGTCGACTCCCGTAGTGCGTCGCGCCAAGAGCGGGCCTTTGGTGCCTATGGCCTCGACATTGTCTATCTTCCGGGTCTTCCAGGTCTCCCGGGCCCTGCGTGGCTGCGGTCGTGCAGTGTGGCTAGACATGTCGCGCATAACCGTGTTCGTCGCGGACAACAGAGGCTTCCTCGCTTCGACAGGTGGCTCGTCCTTTGACCCTGGCTTGACCGTATCGATTTTGTTGTCATCGGCATCCCTAGATACATGTCCGTGTTCGTTGCTGTCGGTGTGGCGAGGGCTAGCCACTGCGGCGTGCATTGTGGTTTGGCACGCCGTGGCGTCCTTTCTGGACATCAGCGCTATCGGATTCCTGCTGATGGAGTTGCCCTGTGTCACAGATGTCGCCGTTACTAGTTTTTCGCCGTCGTCGTCGTGGCGAGGAGCGGTCACGCCGACCTCTGTGGCTGCGCGAGTTACTTCAACATGCAAACTCAGTAGGGTAGCGTCGGATGCAGTGTTGATAGCCATAGAAATATCGGAGGTGAGGTTTGTTGATACTTGAGACGAGGTGCCTAGGCTGGGATGCTTTGTTGAGGACAGATGTGGCATCGATGCGCCTGAAATGAGAGACGTTTATTTGGTCATGATTGGTCGTATTGTGGCGCGATTTTTGCGGCTCATAAGTATCAAGCTAGCGGAATAAGTACCACACTTCCGTACAGCTGCAGGTGGGAGTATGGGGGTAATCCTTATTAATATTGTTCTGTCGCACCTCGGTTTCGTGCTGATTATCATGCCGAATCTGACTCCTATGACCATTACTGCAGGGCCAGTAATATATATATCAGCTGTCATCCAAAGGCAGGGCCCGCAAGACCCAAGCAGGAATCAAGATATTACGAAGAGTGAGAATACATGACGTAGCTACCGGCATCAGAGACGCACAGATCAGTGCAGAAAAGGGCATGGGTTGACAACGAGAAAGCAAGCGAGATGAAATGAGCAACCGAATCACATTGGCCATACGATATAATCAGGTCCCGCGGGAGACACTGGCGCGCACCCCACTCCTGGCCATCTTGGAGTGCCGTCCGCTGCCACTCGCAGAAGCGGATTGGTCGTCATCCAATTGGCTTGCCGTTCGTTTAGAAGTCGCCGGTAAGTCCAGATAATTCATGGTGTCTGCTTTGTAGTTTCGCGGTAATTGATCCGGTTTTTTGTCGCTCGGAGGCCAGCCTTCTGTCAGGTAGAACTGGAAGAGCTGCATCACGGGTAAGTGCTTTTCCAGCTTCTGGGCCAATTTTGCCTTCTTTGATGATTCTTCGGCATCTTTGTCCAAGTCCTTCTGCGTCGGAGGGGTGTCCTCAATTTCGGATTCCTCGTCATCGTCGCTGTGATAATCCGCCGGAATATCGAAGTGCTTCTCGGTCTGGACGTAAGTCTGTCCCTCGTCCTCAGGGACCTCATCTTCAATCGAAATGTCGTTTACGGAATAATACGCTTGGAACCAGGACATGAGTTCGTCAATCAGCCGTTGAAGGGGCTTCGTTACGAATACGAGTTTCTTCCCTCCGGTGAGAATTTTGCCGCGGTTGATGCACAAGATCTTTGTTGTTCCTCCGATAATGACTTTCTCTTGTGGTATCGCGAAGTCGAAGAAGCTGTTCATGAAAGCTCCCACGTCGGTGCAATTATGATCCAAAAAACGTATCGCCTGGTAAAGCAAGACGTGCAGGAAGGATTCTAGGTCATCCGGTAACTCATGCGACTTCCAAGGAAACTGCAGGAGATTTCCCGACATAAATTGCCAGGTGCCCTGATGGTCGAGTGAGCGGAAGAGATAGAAATGGAGGAATTTGACAATGACGGAACATACCGTACGATCAAATTGCCTCGGACCATCATTACCAGCCATTATGCTCTTGGACAAGTCCCAGTCATTCAAGAGACCTTCCGAAATGACAGACGTCTGGCCTTTATCATCGACCGTCTTTCGAAGGATTAGTATATTACCGGCGCTGATATCTCTATGAATGATCTTGGCTCGTCTGTAGGCGCCCGCATGACCTGCAAAATGCCATCAGGATGTTGGATCGAATCAGGACAAGACAACGTACCATATATGCAGTGGTAGATGATTGTAACCAGCTCCTCAGAGTTCTTGAACTCCTTGAGAGGGCAGCCTATCTCCTTCACGGCTAAACGATAATGTCTATAGGGTCTGAGTCGACCCGGTGTGACCGCGTCCCCAGACCAGTGCTCTTGAGTTGATGTACACTGCCCCACTACATCCCCGTGACACACTAATGTCGGAACATATTTCACCTGCAGGTCGTTCATGCTACGTATGACCTCGCCTTCTTTAGCCATGCCTTTGAGGTCCACGCGCCAGCAGTCTTTGAGGTATACAAGCTCGTTGCTTTCAAGGTCCAGAGCCACATAGCCGCGAGTGCCGCGGCCTGTCATACCAGGCGCGGTGAAATGAGGTTTTCCGACAAGAAAGTAACGGTGTGCTGAAGGCGATATGGCACTACTCGAGCTTGAAAAAGTGTCTGGAGATGCAGAGGTCCCAGTGCCGGTTACAGCAGTATCAACACGCAACTTCCACTTGGGCCAGTTCGCAGCGCACGATTTCTTGAAGTAGTCCAGTTGGTAGGCTTCCGGGCGCATGTCGTCCTTCTTGTTCGTACGACTGCCATCCTCGATCTTCTTCATCATACGCTCGTGCAGATACGAGCCCTCTAGGATTGCCTCTGCGGTGGGGTCGTACCCTTGTTGCTCGTCGTTCAGATGGGCGAAGTAGAATAGGAACCTACAGAGCTTCTCAGAATCCTTTACGTAGTCGAACCTTTCGGTGAATATAGCGCCAGCACGATCCCATCGTATGATCCTGGCATGATCCCCCAGAATAACAATGGAGAATCCATGAGTACGCTGTTGGCGAGCGAACATTGCAGCCGCATATGCGATCAATTGTCCCCTTGTACTTTTCCGCTTCTCGGCTAAATTCTTTTCTTCCGTCTCTTTCTCGGGAGGGCTATAGAATGGATCACACTGGACGGTGTTGGCATAGCTCTTGAATTCAACATAGAGTGCCATACGGTCCCACCGAGGCTTGGCCGAACGACCTTGCGGCGCATACTGATCGGGGTATAAGGCCATGTCCACCTTATTCCCTCCGCGTATCTTTGACTCTATATCATCGAAGGCGTTGGGGGTGGCGACAAAGGTATAGCCGGGACATAGCCTCTTATTAGCCACACATGCAGCCTAAGGGTGTATCACAGGCGTCAGCGCAAGAAAAGAGTGATCAATACGGGCTACGCACAAACCTCTCATACATCCATTCTTCCTTTGAAGTCTTCTTGGCGTCTGTATCTTCCGCTTTTTCAAACTCCTTCACATTCGCATCTTCTTCCGTTTCAGATTGCTTCGCCGTGCCTTTCTGCACATATTTCTTCGGGTCTCCTTGACTCACAGGATTTATCATGTCGTCAAATGCGCCAATGTAGTTGCTGGGGTCATAGGCATCGTTGGCGGGGATGAATTCCTTCAGAAAGTCGTCGATCCCTAGGGGCCCGACAAATTTGCCTTGCATGTCAAATACGAGACCCTTCTTGATCAACTCGGCGTTTGGCTTCGCAGCAGAGTAAGTATACGCCCCCCTAATTGTGCGCTTGATTGGGGACGACCCAGAGACGTGAGGATTGCGGGAAGACATGGTGAAAGGGGAGAGCTTACCGACCAGGACGAATGGGTCTCCCTTTTATAGACCCAAGGTTGTGGCCAGCGGAGGGTTCCGGTAATCAATCCGTTGATAGGCTAGATGTGCTTTCTTCTTCGCGTGTGTGAGTCACAATACTGAGCCACGCCTGACTGGCTTCTGTAGTTCTCTCCAGATCTGAAGATGAAGACGCTGTCGGCCCTGTATCCACAAACGGAGATACCAAACAGAGCATACCTAGTATATATCGGTGACCACGACGAATGGGTGTTCACTGATGTGGCCACAAGTTGAAGGAAGCAAGAGTGTGACCGTCATGACTTCGATGTCGGACGCGCGCGCTGTCACGTGGCGGCTTCCTGATGGTCTGGGCTCAAGCCACACCTGGACCCCGTCATACACATCAGGATGGGTTTGGCCACATATCCCCGATGCGATTCATCTCCTCAAAGAACAATAGACACGCCCAAATATCCTGCTTGAGCAAAGGTAACCGCTCTGGGCTTCTGTCTAACACGCCGAGATCGGTATACGGGTACTATGAAAATGTAGACTTATATATCTGGAAAAGACTACTTCTTCGTTTGTGGCCATCTTAACAGCGCTTCGCCATGTTAGGTGTTCAATCAGCGCGACAAGGATGAATCATTAATCAGGACTTCTTTTGCAGCCGTTTGCAGATCGATGGACCACCAATCCAGAAAATCGCGTATAGTCGGAGTGGGTCGGAGTGCGTCCCAGGGACGTCGGAAGAAGGTAGGGAAGTCCTGATGGTCTGATCTCCGTATCTCAGGGACTTAAAATTGCTTGTCCGACGTGGTCCGACTATAAATGATTTTTGAAAAGTGGGCCCATCAATCTGTAAACGGCTGTGAAGCGGGCATGGGGATCAGTACCGTACAGCCCGGAGCCTTTTTTCCTGATGTATTGCCACGCCCTTTGGCCCGGAATGACTCAGGATCATGGAGATGAAAACACTGGGTGCAATTCCCATATTGAGCCACTGAGAAAGTGTGAATGAAACTGGTCAAAGGTCAAATTTTGTTCATAGTGTTGCCTTGCAAAACATATGAAAGTTCAATGAATAGTGCTGAACAAAGAACATATCCTGTGTCACAATCAGATTTTTGCACACTCAAAAGTAGTATTATTCTAATTCGGTTCACTGATTGTGCAATGGACAATCATGAAAAAAGTTTGACCTTTGACCCGTTAATTTCACAGTTTTCTGCATGCTCAATATGGGTGATGTACCCAGTGAAAGATGGTACCCACTGCTCTGGAACCACGACATGAGGTTAGCGATAGGTGATAGCGGCCCGAACTCAGTATGAAAGGGAAAACCCTGCGGGAGGATTTCGGCACCTCTGCATGCGACGTCCTCTGCGTCTCTCCCGCCCACGGTCTAATATATATGACGAAGACAGCATGAGTGTGGCTGATACTTGGCTGGGTAGGACGGGGGCCGGGGAAGGTGCATCGCCGCCAGGAGCTGGTGGCACTATTGCTCCACATTGCGAGCCGCCAAGCATGCGCGGCAGTCTTTACCTGAAGAGAGACATACCACGTACAGTCCAATGCTGGAGCTCTGGAAGGTCATATACGTTCCCAAACTCCCTTATCACTACGACATAAGGCATATACGACTAGAATTAGACATGTGTAGCACTTCTCAGATTAAGGTAAAAGAAGACAGAAAACCTCAAACCACAATCCACACTCATACCCTCTTCGCAAACTCCTCGGCGGGGCTAACCCGACGAAGCAGAAGAGAATGTAGGAGGTTCCCCAGCTGACGAAGATGCTCGGCCGCCCGAGGAGGCTGAGGAGGATGTCAATGTTGTCTCGCCGACAGAGCGTGAAGGCCCTGAGGTGGAAGAAGTCGCGCCCGCTCCTGGACCCAGGGCAAGGCGCGCAGCGAAGAAGGCGCCCTCGCAGGTGACATAGGCCGGACCTGCGTGGAGTACCCTTGCTCGGTCACGTTTCGTCCACGCGTGCGTCTGTGCAGCGAAAATAATCAAAGGCAGTTATTCGGGGTGGACCTGCTACTCGTTCGCGCCTAGCTGAACTGGCCGATATCCAAGAGGCGTCGTCCGATGAGGACATGATACCAATCGAGGAAGAGCGCCCCGAGGAGGCGAGCAGTGCCCCGCGGGCTGGTGCGAGCGCACGCTCCCGAGGGTCGATTTGCGAGACCCAGGAGGAGAAGTGGAGAACGCCGTCGGCCGCGGAGTCGGGGGAGAGCTCTGCATGGGAGCGGCTGCTTCATGAAGACAGGAAGGACTAACAGCCGAGATCTAGCCAGCTCCGCAGCGTCATTAGGCACCCGCTCGACTCCGACGACTTGGAGACGATTCGGATTTGGTGCGGCGGTCGGGCGGACGCGGGAGTATCATGGATCTCACCAACGAGGAGCTTGCGGATAATTTGGAGGAGCTGCTCTCCCCCGTCGGGAGCGGCTAGAGAATGTGGGGGGGGGGGCGCACGGCAAGTGCCTCGAGCCGGGCAACGACGGAGCCCGGGGAGGGCTTGAGAAATTGCCCGCCGCCTGTGACGAGGGCCCGGGTTGCGAAAGAGGCTGGAGCGGACGCCGTGTAAGCCCGTGCAGGCGACGAAGGCCACGCTTGATAATATTCGCAGCCCGGACTTGGGGATGGGACTACGCTCTGCAGCCGGTACGGAGCCGACCTCCTCGCCAACTGCCTACGCCCGACCTCGCCAACTGACTACGCCCGACAGGCTGAATACCAGGAGGTGCCTTAGCCCTCAACCACTCGCCACGCAGCTGGGTAGTTAACGGCCCGACGACCGTAGCCTACGAGCTCATGCCAACGCCGGGAGGGGGCGCAGGTGAGCGTTGGGTACCGGAGGGTCGCGGGTGGGAGGTCCTCCGTGGGGTCGTACTACCCGATCGGGTTGAAGATGTCATTGCCGTGCATAGGCACTTCATCGTCACTTCCCTATGACACGGTAAGCAGAGTACAAATAAAGTAGGCAGGCCATGTTCACTCGTCTGGTCTGGGCTTTCCCTTGCCCTTGCCCTCACTCCGCTCCGGTGGACCGCGTGCACCCTCAACGCGCGAAGTGACGCTCTGACTCGCCTGCCGCATTCTCTTCGCAGGGGGCGGGTACATCTTTCGCGCTCCTCATCCTCGTATCTTGGTTTCCTCTGTCTTACCTGGCTTTCCACCATCTCTTCCTCCTCCCCTTGTCCTTCTTACTCTCCCTGCTCCTCACCATCCTCGTCATCCGTACCTTCCAAATCGGAGATGAACACTCTCCCCTGCTTACACCGCCTGTCGAGCTCATACTGGCCCTTGCCGTCATTGCGCAGAGGGCGGAGACCCACGACTGTCGTGATTATTCTCATCGAACCACTCCTGATGCGCCTTGTAATGCCGTTCCAAGGCATCCAATTGTGTGCTTCGCCCATGCATACGCGGTGTGCAGATCCGCCTGTGCATAAAGTTTGAGAGACGATGGATAAGGAGATGAAATGGAAACAAACCTATCTAATAAGCCGCTCGTAGATCACCCGCACCTGCTGTCCGCCCTGCTTCTCGTCGAAGACTTGCGTGAGGTATCGAACGAGGTTCGCTTTATCCACGCCAGAGAGTTGCACCCTCCTACCATGCCGTCGTCAACCCACAGCGTGCGTTCAGATCCCAGAAGAAAACTAACAGAATTCAATAGGCCCAGGCACTCATGTCCAGGCTGCGGACCACCCATCCCCTTCCTCACCGGCGGCGCGTACCTCCTCCCTATGCACACATCTACAAAGCCCGCATCCTCCACCTCAAGTTTCGTCTGCATTCAGTTATACTTCTCGAGGAAACCTACGCGCTCGGGTGCGCAGAGGAGCACGTCCGCGTCCTCGGGTTCGCGGCAGACGTGCCCGCCGTGCGTCTGGCGTTGGGAACAGAAGATAGTCGACTCCGACATGATTGGTGTTCCTTTCCTCGAGCTGGTCGTCTACATCGTCCGCGGGACTGTTGTTCCGATGAGCGGACGCCGAACACGATCATGGTCGGGTCGAAGGGAAGCGTCCCGGGGACAGTGACAATGAGACGCGTTGGTCACGTGAATGCCAACGCACCTTCCTAGATTGGTTAGGGTTACAGGCACTCACTGCTCTCTATTTTTCTCTATCTTGGTCTGCAAGGCTCGTGTGTAAGTGTTTGAGAAGGCTATTGCTTGGTCAGAAAGCCCTAATTGACATGCCTGTCAATGGACCTTGAACAAGCACTTCACGGAAATCTCATTGCAGCTAGCTGCCCAGGACGGCATTGACCGTTTCAATGATTATACAATACAGATGCTGGTGACTGCGGAGAGGGTATAATGGAACGTACATCTTAATCCTCATAGACGTTATTATCAGCCACCAACACGCGTAGACCAGCGGTGCGCCTGCCTGCGAAATCAGCAAGCTAAAGAGGCAAGCCGGCCCGAACCCCGTTCCAGCGATTGCGATAACTATCAGTCCTTCACAACATCGGACTTCGCATTCTGCGCAGTACTCTCTACCAGTACGTAGACCGGTGAGGACTCATGGGACAGGTAACGGTATACGATTTAATGAAATTGAGCAGAGCGGCTTGAATTCAGTGCGCTAGTTGTCCTGCGTTGATACTCTATTGTACGTCTTCTGTCCACTCATCTGCCTTCGCCCGACCACTGATTTCCAAAGCAAAATCCTAGCACAGCTGTTTGCCCTCTTTTTCGCTCATTCCACCTCCCTCTCTCGAATGCTCTTCGCGAACCTGTAGCTTGATGTCCACGCCGTCCGATGAGATGTTGTGGGCGATGTGGGCCAGTGAGTCTAAGTCACCCCGAGTGACATCGGCTACATCAGAAATAGTGAGATATTTTAGTTGTCGTGCGTTGTCGCGGTGCTTAAATAATCTCAGCAACCGCCGCCTGGTACTGCCCCTCATAATCATGGATTCCAGCTTCGGAAGTAGAGCAGGTACGTCTCGCGCTCCCAGGAAGTCTGATGGGACCACTCTGGCGCTGCGATCATGCAATCGGAGGGTCCGCACCTCAGGCATCTGCTCGAATAATGCCGTCCAGTCATTGCGGGTCCCAGTCGTGTACTCGCCGTCGACGACCTTGAGATCACGGACCGCACTCAAAGACTCGCCAAGGTAATCCTTGATTGTTGGCAGGAAGTTCTCTTTCAACTGCATGTTGTCGAACTCCAGGTGGATGATCGGGGTGTTTGGAGATCTGTCGAAGTCGCCCATCTTTCGCGCAAAGTCCAACTCCAGAGAATATTTATCGCGAGCGCGGAACCGGCAGGCATGGAGACTGTTGTCCTTTACAGCCTGGTTAACTATCGGCGCAACGAGATCAACAATTCCCAAAAGTACAGTCTCGTCATCTTTGGAGAGGATCGAGAAATTAGCTTGTGTGAGCCGTGGAGTGCGGATGTAGCCAAGGAACCGAACGTCCTCGACTTCTATTGGATCCACCGCTATGCGTTCCAACTTCGTCAGAGATATCACGGGATGAGGTGAAACAGGTCGAGCATCTATGCTTGACAAGACCTCGAGCGACCGAAGACTCGGAACAGCGTCGAGAGTACGTAGCACAGACTGATCTTCTTCAGGCGCGTGCTCTGGAGGCCACCGAGCTCAAGCAGGTCATCGTCTCCTCCTTCCCCGGAGCCTACGATCCTGGTCAACCTGAGTTCCTCAAGCTTCGGCATGCCCTCGCCAGCGCCCAACTTCCGTAAGTTCCCCGTCGAGATCTCCAAGTCCAGCAGCCGGATCCGGTTCGACTCCCGGAGTATATATTCGATCTTCTTTAAGTCAGCGTCCCTGTCGGTCACCAAATTTCCTCGGATAGAAAGAGGCGTCGACTTGCCGCTGCGACGAATAATCTCCGCTACCAAGTCTGGCGTCACACCGCTGACGACCACGTTGCTCCAGAAGGTCCCATTCCCCATTATGATATCTTTCCACCGCTCGCAAACCCTCATCAACAGCTGAACCTCTTCGTAACACTTTCAGCTTGACGCCCACGTCGCCGAGGCGTCGGCGATAGCCAGCCCGAAGATCTCGCAGAGAATCTCTGATGGGAGGCTCTCTACTCCAGTTGTATGCCGCGCCGAGAGCGAGCCTTCCTTAGTGCCTGTGGCCTCGACGTTGTCTGTTTTCCCGGTCTTCCGTGCCTTGCGTGGCTGCGGGCGTACAGTGTGGCCAGACGCGTCGTGCGCAACCGTGTTCGTCGCGGACGACAGAGGCTTCCTCGCTTTGACAGGTGGCTCGTCCTTTGACGCTGGCTTGTCCTTTGACGCCGGCTTGACCGTAGTGATTTTGTTGTCCTCGGCATCCTTAGATGCATGTATGTGTTCGTTGCTGTCGGTGTTGCGAGGGCTAGCCACAGCAACGTGCATTGTGGCTTGGCACGTTGTGGCGTCCTCTGTAGACTCTAGGAATTTTGGGTTCCTGCTGATGGAGTTGGCCTGAGTCATAGACGTCGCCGTTACTAGTTTTTGGCCGTCGTCGTCGCAGAAAGTCGACCCCACTGGGAGGTCACACCGCCGAACGCGTTCGCGAACTGCAAATGCGAACGTGAGAACCACACCACGGTGCACGTGGGCGCGTGTCGATTCTGTGGCTCTGTCCACCGGCCACAGACGCGTACCCCTTCTGCTTATGATAAAATCTGCATAGCCTGATGGTTTTAACTTGTAAGTTTATTGTATCAGTCTGTGAGATTGAAATTGCTGGGTTATTGTAAAAAAAATGTGGTGAGTAATCGAAGCTGTCTGTCCAATTGGGGTCACACGAACCCATTGAAGCCCCTTCCGTGCCCTCCCCCTAACAGTTTCCATGGTCAATACTACTGGCATTGCATTGAAAATGTGATGGACAACTTGAAATTCATGGAAATTACTCTATTCACGTCATCAATATCCCTGGTATGGTACAATAATATGTGCATAACAAACTGTATTTTATGGATTGAAAGCATAGCCGCCATTGCCTTTCTCGCTCAATAACAGTTGCGGTGTGGCGATTCCCCAGGCTCAGTGGCGTGCATCCCCTCACGTGCCCAGACATTCGCCGAA